CACCCGGCCAGCCCCCCAGCTGTCCAATTCAGCCGCTGCGGAAACGGATCAGCGGCTGACTCCAGGAAACCCAGGGCAGAGCAGCTCTACCTCGGGCTTCCTGGAGTCATCCGCTGATCAGTTTCAGCAGTGGCTGAATCAGGACGCCTGGGGCAGAGCAGCTGGGGGCCTGCCGGGTTGGTCCCACAGCACTGAGGGTCGGCGCTACCGGACAAACCAGGCAGCACTCCAGCTGCTCTGCTGCAGGCGTCACCGATTCAGCTGCTGCTGAGACTGACCAGCAATGACTGAATCAGGAACGGCTGGGGCAGAGCCGGACTATCGGAAGGGGGGGCTATGAGGGGTCCGGGGCCAGGCCCCTCATAGCCCCCCCCCTTCCGATAGTCCGGCATATCTGATCATTCTGCACCCCCTGAGTCCTAAGGGTGCCTGATTTTCGGAAGTTTACTGTATTGGTAACAATTGCTACATATGAAGGAGCACCAATCTGTAGTTTAGAATTCCATGGGATGCCTTAAGGTTCCAATTAGTCCAGTTTATCTTTGAGCACACACATTACCTGCTATTGCAAAAGCACATTATCAGTAAATGCTCAGAAGTCCTGATAAATGACAGTATTAAAATGTAAAACACGTTAAATGTATATTAAGGTTACACCTTTAAAACCAAATTTAAAAAAAAAGCAGGAAAAATCAAGTTTGTCAGCCATATTAACACTATAAGACAGCCCATCTTATATTTGGAATGTTAGATACCGTGTAACTGAATAGTTGTGTAACTGCATGAAATCTTAGCAGTTACACAGTTATTCAGTAGTTGCCAGGGGCAGGGCTGGCAGCCAGTGCGCTTGCCCCACTCCAAGGAGCCTCCTGCCATCCAATGCTGCTGCCTCTGTATCAGAGGCAGCAGCGCAGGGCAGCAGGTGCGAGCTGGTCCATGCGGAGAGTCACTTTAAATAACCGCTCCCCACACCCACCAGGTGCTTGCCACCTCTTGCTGCTACCTCTGATACAGAGGCAGCAGTGTGGGCTGAGAGCAGGCCCTGTACATGGGGTACAAGTTTCCCTCAGCCTGTGCTGCAGCAGCAGCAGCCCCTGTATGCGGAGAGGTCGGAGCCCCTGCAGACAGGGGTTGCTGCCATTGACCAGCCTTGGTATGCGGTGAGCCCAGGCCACTGTAGACAGAGGTTGCTTCACCGCAGCCGGCCCCCCCAGACCTCTCCACATCAGAGGCAGCAGTGCAAGGGGTGGGCAAGCAGCACTGTAGAGCTGATGCTGGGGGAAAAACAGCTTTTAAGCTGACTCACCTCAGCTCTGGCTCTTGCCTGCCCTTCCTCGCTGCCTTTGTAGGGGACAGTAAGTGGAGGGCAGGTGGGTCTGTGGGAGCCAATACATGCAGGATGCCCTTTTGAAGAAAGTGTGTGTGTGAGAGAGAGACAGAGACAGAGAGCCAGCCCCCTCACTCTCCATGCTGCTGCCTCTATATCACAGGCAGTGTGGATC